TCACTTCCACGTTCGCTTTCACACTTCCATCCAACCCCAAACTTTTTCTTGGAGGTGTGCAAGCAAGGTGTTGCTATAGGACGCAAACGTGATAGCAGAACTCATCGATCAATGAAAAAAAGCAGCCCACCTGCGTCCAAGGCTGCCCGTTTGACAGCAGGGAAGCCAGGTATTAGCGACCCTCGGACAGGCTCCACAATCTCGTCTGAGTTCAAGGACGACCCAAATAGCTTAGGATCGCCAGTGACAATGGCAGCAACCTGTAGCACCAATGGCAGGATTCGCAAGCTGCAGCGGTCTGGATGGTTCAGGGGTTGCCCCATTACAGCCCAGAAGGTAAGGGGGTATAGACGGCAACTCGTCAGCATGGAGATCAAAATCAACTTTGATAACAAACGTTGAAGTACAATGAAGGATAGCATTGGCACCAGTCATGTGATTGTACATGCTGTTCATAACCCGGAGTGCTTCTTGCTGCAGTGCTGTTCGTTTTTGCCACTACAGAAGTAAAACTGGTAGAGGTTGCAGAGTTGCAGAAGCAGCACGGATTCAATTCAGTGACAGTGACAAAGTTCTTGTGACACTTGTGATCTGTCTCTGCGGCTGCCAACCACATCCCAGCAATCTGGTTGCAATTCAATCTGCATCAGTGCCTGCAGGAAAGACATCTGGTGCAGAGTAAATGGGTTTGGAAATGAAGACAGGTGCGCGCCACAAACAATCGTTGCAGATCATGACTGCACAGCTGAACTCCACAATGAAATAATGCCAAACTGGTACTGGGTGCAATTTGTAGGATGTGTTGAGAACTCTGACAAGTTCTAAACAACAGTGACGTCTCTCATCATATATAGCACTTGTTTCCTGCAATTACCACCTGTCTGCACTACTAGAGCAGCTGCTTGACCGACAATCGGACATTTCATGTTTCACAATAGTTTGGGTTGCTGCCACTGTCTCCATTGCTGTCAAATTGTCCATACCAATGCTGCTCCCATGCTGCAGTTGTTAATGACTTTGGGCATGGGCACCAGCTTGGGCAGAGCGGCCCTCATTTTTGCTGTTGGTGCCTCAAACACTGGTGTCACTAGCACGAACCAAAGGTCGTTGGGGAAGTCCAGCCGATGCAGTTCCAAAGGTCTGTAGCTCCTGGGTGACAAACAACAAACCATATCTATCATAAGGCTAGGTGATCATTGCAATGATTTTGGCATATTCTGATAAACAAAACTGTGACAACGAACATTGGCATCTTGTCCACCTCTGTACTTACTCCTCAGGCATAGCGACAGGCTGCCATAGATGTCACCACAAGACCAATCCCTATTAGGCGTGCAGTGTGCCCTGTGTCAGTTCCTGCCAGCATCTTTTGACCTTCTCTTCTCATCAAACAGAGCATTCAACCAATGCACATATCTCCCACAAGCTTCCTGACCAAAACAAAATGTCATGTGTTCTGTAACATCACTGTAATCGGCACAGGATTACACACCTCACCAAAACAAAGCTGCCCAGCAATGCAGGTGCGACGTTGTCTGCGTGGTACCCGCTGACAACACTTTCTGCAGCCAGGCCGGCAATAACAAGCTCATGCTTTGAGAGGGGCGAACCAAACAAAAGGTTCACGGCCATCGCCCCAGCAGCTGCACTGGCGGCACTCGACCCCATCCCACTCCCCAGCGGCAAGCCCTGACAATTCACATGCACCCTGAGTCTCACCATGTTGGATGTGTCTGTACCCATTGTATGTTCCTTGTAGCATGTTTTTCTTCTGCAATTGCAGAATCATTTTTGCACCTCGATGTGGCAAAATGTTGAGGCCATGGGAGGCCAACATGCTCTTGTCAGCACACTGTGCTTTGGTGCGTGGTTCATTGAGCAGCACTGTGGGGCGTTCATCCCTTCTCTATTGTTTTTGCCCTCCTTTTGGTTTCCCTTTCCTGTGATCAGAGGGACAGAACCGCACCAGTTGAGGGGAGTTGCTTCCATCTTGTGGACAAGAACGGGTATACAGGCAAGAACAGAAACACAACTCTTTTCAGTATGGACACTTCTTGCAATCCGATGGATAATACCAACAAAACCAGACATATTGCTGTTTACTATTCTTTTGATTCCACAGTATGCACAGCACTTCATTTCTGTGCTTCTGAAGAAACACGCTTCGAGCTGTTTGATAAAATGAGGGTCTTCTCAGTGCATCACAGAAAAGATGCAAGCGCAGTGGTTTCCTATGTGAAAACAAATGCAATCTAAGCAGACATCAACCCTTTTCAGTAAATGTTCTGCTTGTGCAGTAGTCCATTATGCAACCAGCAATCAATTTGCCCCAAGTACAGTGCACATCAATCGGACAGTGACACGAGCCGTGGGCCCAAGTTTAAGAGATATGAAGCCAACAAGCGACTTTGGGATTATCCACCTGCACATGTCTGTCAATCGGCAAGCATTGGACAGAGTTCAGAAGTGAAGTTGTTTGCCTGTCGATCTGAATATTGAACAAGGGGTACACACTCCAGTGTCCTCCTCAAGAATGTAACTCTTCGCACACAGAAATATATTCCGCCTTTATCCTAGTTGTCCATTGCAACACACCTTCTTCAGGGACAAGGTAACACCGCAGGTGGTCCTCCCCATCAGTTCCAAAGCTTTGATTGCAGCAATTCCCGCACAGTTTTTATGTGCATTCAGGGATAGCCGGCCACCTTCCCCTTCTATTTTGTCGATTTGGACACTGCAGGGCTCAGCTGTGGATGGCCTGGCCACCACTGTGTCCCCTTCGCCCTGCAAAGCGCACTACTGGTCACCCATGAAAAAACGGTGTGCCGCTGTTCGTGCTGCTCTTTCTGATGTGGCCGCCTCCTACACCTGGAGATTTGTCGATGATCGTCATAGAAAATAATTTCAGAATTCTATTGCTGAGGAGGAAGTTCGCTTGCATGTGATATTTTCTGTCCTGTTCCAGTGTATGCTCCATGCTGAACAGTAACAACATTTGATGGAACAAGCCCTCCCCGCACCTTGCTTCATGGTGTTGTGTTTTTCCATGCAGCCAGAAACATCTAACATCTATTGAGGAAAGAGTTGTCGTACACAAGTTCAATCAATAGGGGACTCAATAACTCAAATATCTATCTATCAATCACATTATCTTCCCAATACAGTGCTGTTGTTCAGATGGGACCTGTCAAGTAATTGAAGTGAACCCGCGTACTTTCAAGGCCTGTTGAGAGCAACAGGCCTGGCCATGGGAATGCAATGGGCACCTGAACGTTGTGTGGAAACCTGCTGTATGTGAAGACACATTCCAGCCATAAGACTTTCAGTCAACAGGTTCGATGACGATGACGAGCGTTTTGATGCCATCCTGCCTGGTGAGGTGTCGCCGTTGTGGGTTTTGGGACAATTGCAACAAACGATGGTTTGTACACACCAAACAAGCAAGTGCTTGCAGTTCACAGGCTGTTGCGAACATCACAACAATAAATGTTTGGCACTGCAAAAAACGCGTCGATGAGGCACTGTGGCAAAGCAAGGTCGGATCCTAATCCAACGAACACGTGCCATGGAATTCATCATTTTCCTTCACGCCAGACACCTTTGTTGCGCTGTATGGACAACTGATGAGAGCGCTTCGGCTCGCAATCGGCCGTAAACGCATCCTCGTTCACGGCGAGGGAAAGCGCTGCAGCTCTGGCGTTCCGCAGGGCTGTGTCCAATGCATGATCTGCTTGAATGCATCATTGCATGGATAACTGCGCAGCTCAGGACGCCGCCTCTCGCACTCAGCCGTCCGAGCAGTCCGTCGCAGAGTCACCAGTCCGACGCACACACCCCGGCAATCAACCAAAACACTGACATCCACATCATCACAAAAGGCTGGGCTGACACTACGCTAGGAACACCTCATTCCAGCCTTTCCCCTGATTTGGAGCGCGTTCGAGTCCGCAGAAAGCCGCTCTCCCGCCAAGGTCCCACCTTGACTGCGCATCCCAGCCAATCGAAGCCCGGCCCCAGGTTGGCTATCGTTGCGGGCGCGAATGCGGCAATCTCGGCCGCCACGGGTTCGATCGCGGCGCGCTGGCCATGGCAGCGGCACCGGGCGGACCGCCCGGAGTGGGGGCGGCCGAAGGCGGGCGGTGCGCGGCGCGTTCCGGGAGCAACTACGGACCCCGCCGGTGCGGAAGGGGCTTCGACGAACATGGGAGTCCAGACAGAGCAGTGGGCCAGGGACGGACACTGGGCTGCACTTACACGGAGCTGGCACAGTCCCATGTTTTTTTGTGTTTTTTTCCCCAAGAAACAATGAATTGACAGATTTGGGCACAAGCGAGGGATAGATTCGTCAAGAGGAAATAGAAACCATGTCATGAAATAGGGCACGCCCCTTCTGCCCAAGATATGATGCTTATGCTCTTTGCGTGCTGTGACTGATTATCCAGAGTATCCGGTTGCATGAGGAGAACGCAGGAAAGGCTGCGTCCGATCGACAAGCAGAATTTCCGTGCCGAGGTTGCTGGCACAAAGATCAAATTGTGGAGCATGCAACACCTTTTGTCTGAAACCGCTCGTATTCATTCCACCTGCAAGTCATTGATTTTGTCATATACCGGAGACATAACCTGCTGTTCTCCGCGGTTGGCAGGCTGCCAGACGGAAGGGGCGCCGGTGACCAGGTGCAGGATGAGCATGAAGGCCAACCTTGGAAACAACAAACACCGCCGGCAACTGTCCCAGCCGCCCCCACGCTCTCCCAGAGGCCCCCAAACTGAACTATTCAGTTTCGGAAACTTCCTAATAGGAAACTAACCGCAATAGCTGTTCCCGTCTGCAGCCGTGGTCCACGTGCGTCCCCCCGCCTCCCCGAATGTCACAAACGCCACGGCCGCTGTACTCCTGACCCCGCCGCCCGCACCCCCGCTGAAACCCCGGCGAGGGCGCCCGCCGCGTGCGGAGCACACCGCCCCGCCCGCTCGAGCAGGCAGCTTCGATCAGTGGCCATGGGAGGCGTATGTGAGTCTAAACCAGTCAATCCCAATCACCCTCGCCCTCCACCACCGCCGGTGGCAAGCCCCCTTTGACGACCCTATCGAACCCATCCGCCGCTGTGCCGTTTCGCAAACCGTGACTTGTGCCGGCATGGGCGCAATCCATCCCCCACCTACGCTGTTTCGGAGACCGCAGTATTGGGATTTCGCGGTCCCCCATTAACCGACGCGGGGTTGTGGGTTTTCCAGGTTGCTGCGGGCCGCGAGTGAAGGACGAGCCCAGGGAGCCGCTCCTGGGCGCGGACAAGGCGCCCAGCGCGCCCGCGACCGCCCCACCAGCCTCTCAGAAGGCCTACAAGCCGCCGGCGGCGATCCCCGTTGATGCCACGCCGCCCGGGGGCGGATGCGAGGACAAGGCGGGCGGCACTTCAGCCGACTCGCAAGGCAATGCCTCCGATCAAGCCGTCGTGCCTGAGGTCAAAGTACAGCCGGAGGTTAAAGTACAGGGCCCGGACTGTTCGGGATCGATCGCTGCGCCCGAAGCGAAGGAGCCGGAAGCGAATAAGGCAGAGGTGATAGGGCCAATGATGACGGCGCAGGAGGCGAAGGACCCTGAGGTCACGGCGAAAGATGTGACGGCGGCGCTGGTAGCGGCGGCGGAGGTGACGGCGGAGCAAGTGGCGCCGGCTGAGGTAACGGTCCCCGCGCCTGCTGGGCAGGAGCATCCGCAAGAGGCGGATCCTGCCTGCGAGAATGCGGCCAAAGTGGCCGAAGGGAAGCAGATTGTTGAGCCGACGATTGATGAGCCCGCTGGGAGCGACCAGGGGCCCACGTCCCAGGCGCAGAAGGCAGCCGCCGCGGCGGTCCAGGCTGTGGCGAGCGCGATAATGGGCGACGTAAAAGATTCATCCCAGGCTGGGGCACCCAATGGTGATGGGTTGGTCGACGTGGCGGCGGTGGAGGCGGGGCTTATGGACGCCGCGGCCAGCGAGCCGGTGATCGAGAGCTTTCCGGTGGGGGGCCTGGCCAGAACGGACACGGCGTCCACGGACGAGGAGATGATGGAGAGCCACCCGATCGCGATCACGCCGCGAATGATGCGATCGGATTCTGTCGAAGAGGGCGGGGGCGAGGGGGAGGAGGAGAAGGGAGGGGAGGGGGAGGAGAAGTTGGGAGAGAAGGAGGAGAAGGTGGGAGAGGGGGAGAAGGTGGGAGAGGAGGAGGAGAAGGTGGGAGAGGAGGAGGAGAAGGTGGGAGAGGAGGAGGAGAAGGTGGGAGAGGAGGAGGAGAAGGTGGGAGAGGAGGAGGTGAAGGTGGGAGAGGAGGAGAAAATGGTAGAAGAGAAGAAGGGGGAGGGAGAGGGGGAGAGTAGCGCTGTGTCTGTGGCTGAGGGATTGGAAAACAGGGGACCCGGGGGTGGGAAGGGCAAAAGGAGGAAACGGGGCAAGGGCGGGCGTGGGGGAAAGGGGCGGGGAGGGGACCACGGGCGCACGGCGCAGACAAGTTGAGACGGCGATGAATGGCCCAGGCGGGATGAATGAGTTCGGGATGAATGGCCCAGTTGAGGCCAGAACCTTGAATGGCCCTGGAGGCCTTTTACAGGGCGATCGGGCGGGAGGGAGAGGAGCGGGGCCCCTGTGGGTGCTTGACATGATGGTGTCATTGGTCTGAGAGTGAAGTGATGGTGGCCGGGACGTGAGCCGGGCCATGTAAGGAATGGTGCTTTTTTGCTGCACCATGGTGAGTGCTCCCTTTTGGCAGTGCATTATGAAGACATTGATGCTGGAAAAGGGGTAGATTGATTGCTGTTCGTGGAACCCCAGTGGGGCATAGGGACTCGTTTGAACACGTTGTTCCATTGGGGAGATCCGGATGTCAATGGCAGTGAAGGGGAGATCGGGGAAAGGATGCTTTTTGCAGTTTTTATAGGTCACCCAACAATGCTACTGCCAATGTATATTGAGACGTTGTTTACGATTTTTGAGGATCAAGATATACAAGAGAGGGCTGCTACTGTGAGGGGTTGCATTCAACAAGATGCTTGGGATTCAATTTGGAGAGACAGTAGCATCAAGAATACAAAAGAGAGGATGATAGACATAGATCAAGGTGGAAGTGGAGGATGCAAAGCAGAACTGCATGCTATCTTGTGCTAGGACCTCCACTGGGAGTATGTAAGGACACCCATTTTTTTGCCGATTGCACTTGCATGATAGTCGCTGACTGGAACACGTGGGCCTGCGAGCTTCGTTGCAAGATATCAGTCTTTGAATGCGAGTTTCTCAAGACTCTGTGCTCTGCAATGGAGCTCAAACTGGCATCCACCTGTCTCT